TTTCCCAGCTAATGCTGGCCCCACCAAGAGAACTCTTCAAAAAGACACCTCGACAGATTGCCTTAATGGATGTAGGAAACATGGCCCAGTCAGTGGACATCAGTGGGCTTCAGCTAGCATTGGCTGGTAAGAAAAGAACCAGCACATAATCACTTCTTTATCGAATCTTGAAAAAATGAATTTATCTATATATTGTCCTTAAGACAAAGATCAACCTAGTTGTGTACTCAGAGCACAAATACCTTCTGTGGAAAAGAAATTCTTTAATTTTGAGTCTTTAAATCTTTCCATTTTAACAGTATATCATATGAACCCATTTTACATTTTTACTAAATCATTTGTTTTCTTAATTGCCTCAGAGGAATAGTGGATGTAATTTAAAGTCTTTCTTTGCTAATAGGAACTTTCTTCAACTGTAAGGTAACAACTTGCTGTCATAACTTGTTATTTTGCATTAGACATGTACACTTAAATCTCTCCTTTTTTCCTAATGCATTCTTTTCTCTTTAAAACAGAACATTTTACATCTTTAATGGAGTCAATAATTAATTATCATAGAAATAATATTTCTTGAGGCAACATACCAAGGTTTGGAAAGAAAATGCCTTAAAAATCTTGGAAAAATTGTTAGCAGAGTTTGTATTATGAAAATCCAGTCATTAGCCAGTTATATGAAAATACTATAAATATCAGTTACTTCAACTCATCAAGTATTTATTAAGTACCTCCTGTTTCCAAGGCACTGTTCGAGGTATTGACAGTAGGTCAACAGAATTAAGAGAAGTCACTGCCTTGAAAGGCATATTATTATAGCATTGGCACTGCTAAGTAAGCATAAGATCATTTGAGAAGGGAGGAGGAATAAGGGGAATAAAGAGAGAATAGAGGAATAAGAAAAGGCATCATCTAGAAAGTGGCACCTGAGTTGAGCTTTGAAAGAAAGTAAAAGATCTAAGATAAGAGGAAGTCTATCCCAGGCATAGGGTACAAGAGAAGGAATGCCAAGTTCAGGTTGGTCAGTTTACTTCCCTTCACACTCTACATTTTAGCCTGTTTGACATGTCAGAAAAGTACAGCAATGGGACAACAGAAGATATGTAAATGCCAAGCTAAGAAGCTTTGTGTTTATTGTAGAGTGAGTCAGGCCACTGAAAAACTTGAGCAGCAAATGACATGGTCATAAGTGATTTAGGCAAGATGATTTGGGCAGGGGAGTCAGTTTGTAGATTTCTCTACCGTGTTATTCTCTATCAAAAATTGTGATTACTTTCTTCTAGATCTTTTTGCAAATACTTATGAGCATTGCAATACAGTGTATTTAACTTTAAACGTGGGTATATTTGATATGGAAATTTACCTCAAATTAAATGATGAAATTGTACTGTAAAGATCTGATCCAGGAATTGATCTTTGAACTCTGGTCTTAGTTCTCTGTCATCTCTTCTATGCTTCTGAATTATTCACTAAGTTAAATGGATTACTTTCCTGGGAATATGACTATAGTTGAATGATAGTGTTTAAAGGGACTTTGCTCTTGAAAGAAAAAATAAGAATCATAGTATGATATGTTCACAGAGAATTCCATTATTAATAAATAATTAATAGTTGAGTTATTAATGACTCAGTAGAGGGATATATTTATCTTACTTCTCACCTATCATTTTCCCATACAGAAAGCAATTAAGTGGAGTAACATAAACTTATCACAAAAGGAAGATTGATCAAAGATAGAGTTTCTTAGAAATATTTTTTTATAATTGCCATTACTTTGTTGAATCTTATCAGATCTTCCTCCCCTGCTTCATGTCTTTCTTTTAATGTAGAGGTGCTTGTGATTGTTCAGGTTATTTGAGGTGCTGATAGATATTTGAGTGATAGCCTCGCTATTTGACAGACAGGAAGGACTATCCTGGTAGGTGAGTTATGATTAAGGCAGGGGATCTGGTCATAGGGAATAGGCTTAAGAAAAGAGAGATCATGATATGCTCAGGGGAGAACTGATTTTTGCCCCCTCCCCTTCCCCAGTATCACAGATTACCCTCTTGGGTCTGTAGCGGCAAAACAAGACAACGTGTTGCTTTTTTCCTCCTGTGTTATCTTCTCTTTATCTGAAATATTTAGCCATTTCCTCCTCCATCCTAAGGTGTCCTAGTTTTCATCTTTTTCAGCTTCTCCTTTGCCACTATTTTGATGGAGTTGACTACCTCTGTTACCAACATCATTAATGAGCAAGATGTTTATGTGAGTGGATTTCCCACCAAATAACTGAAGTTTTTTAGCATCTAAACTTTTATAGTATTTTGAAATAATTTTTTATGTAAACCTTTTTGGCATGTTAATATGTTTCTTAACTTAAACTGAATTAATTCAGCTTTAATGACAGAGTGATCATCTTGATAATTCACCTTTTGAATTGTGATGGTCCTCAGGCCTGTTAAGCAGGTGTCAGTGTCAGCCATTGCTCAAGGCAAGTACATTGATAGTAGCAGCAAATGACAAAAATCAGCCTAAGAATTTAAAGTCATTTAGTACAGGGGCTGTCTCTGTCCCCAACCTCCATATCTGCTACAGAGCTGGGAAACCAGATGAGCAAGCTTCTTAGACAGTAATGTGTAAATTAAGTGCAAATATAAGTGAGGTCCTGAAATGCTTAGGGTTCTTTTTTTTTTTTTTTTTTTCGTTCTGGGGTCTTTATGCATAAAGACTCTTGGCTAAATAATCTCTCCAAAAGTGAAGTATTACTGGGTAGGCAGTACTTGCTTCTATATATAACATTCTTCTGGATACCTTTATTCAGATCAGAATACAAATTGTTGATTGTCTATAGTACAGGCCCAATACCAGCTATCAGTTGGACATGTACTTTGATTTGTTTACCAGTAAGTGTGCCAAGTCATCACATTCTTTCATCCATTCCTCCATAACCAGAGGCATGTATGTGAGACCTGGCAAAGCATTGCCACAATTGACTTTTGAGAAATTAATCTGACAACTAGATTTTTGTATGATTTTTCAAATCCCTTCTATGACCCATATTGGCTTTTCTTTATTTGTCCAAAATTTTGTCTGTTTGGAGAATTGATCTGCTAACTTTTTATTCTCCTTGAAAAAAAGGAGTATCTGTGACCAAGAGAAGTCCTTATTTTTATCCAGACTATATATGACAAATTATTGCTCTTTAGATACAGCAAGAGATAAGTGGTGTTAGTGCCATCCTCTAGTGTTTCATCAAACTTTTAGTGCCTGTAAGTGAGAAAAAGAATCCATGGTATCAGTTTCCACAGTACTTGTTTACTGAATGACTTTTTAGGTTAACTGGATGGGGTACTTTATGTTTAAAATGGTGTTTTAAGTGAAATTACTTGCTTAATCATCTAAAATTGTTCCAAATCCTTAAGGAATTGTTTGTTGCAATTGATTTAAACTTTTATATTGCCCATTATACTATCTGATTAGGTGACCTTATTATGTAGGAATAATAGATTTCGAGGATATTACCTGACAGCAGCTGGCACAGTGAATATAGCACCAGGCCTGGAGTCAGGAAGACATAAGTTCAAATGTACCCTCAGACATTTAGATACATAGGTACCCTATGTGACCCAAGGCAAATCACTTAACCCTGTTTGCTTCAGTTTCCTCTATCTCTGAAATGAGCTGGAGAAGGAAATGGCAAACCACTCCAATATCTTTGCCAAGAAAACCCCAAATGGGGTCATGAAGAGTTGGACGCAACTGAAATGACTGAACAGCAACAGAACATATTACCCATAAACTATTGCAGTATTGCAGTTTTAAAACAGTTTTGATAATCTTTAAATACATTGGTACTTTTGATATTTTTGTTCATTTGCTTTGGTGTAATAAACTTTAGGAATCAAAGTATTTCAATAAACTCTTTCCTCCTATAATTCTTTTGACTTTCCTTTGATTTTGAATGCTAGATTACTGTTGTCTAAAGGCATACCTTTAATCCCTATAAGAGAATGATTCTGAACAGTTTGAGGCTGAGTGAATTAGTGTGTTTACACAGCTGCATATTGGCATATGCACAAACAGTTCATGGAAAGGGAAACATGTATTTTTTGGTATTGCTTTAATAGAAGCTAATAAAGGAACATAGTACATCACAATGTGTGAATTATCTCAGGGCACTTAAACTTCCTAAATATATCTTGTGATTACCATTTAATAGACTAGAAGTCAAATCTGAAACCGTTCTAATATCTTATGATTTTTAGCTTCCAGGAAAGGTTTATAGTACATCTAGCACAGCAATGAAAATGTGAATTAAAGATTGAGAAATATGGCAAGGTGCTGTAACTGAGCTTGTAGTCTTCCTTTACCTAGACTGAAGATTTCCCAATCCATTCATTTTCACAAGTGCAAAAAAGTGCAGCTGTCTGCTTTGGAGCTAGCTGCACAAAACATCTCTCTGGAGGTCTAAAATTCAGATGTATTGCAGTGGGATTGATTAGCTTCAAGCAACATTTTCCAGGCTGGTAGGCAAAAAATTTGACGTACCAATTACTTTTATTTATGAATCGTGCAATGCATGTGTTCTTAATTTTTTTCATAAAAAATGGAGGAAATACAAAGTTATGGTACTCCCAATAGGAACAACCTTTTTCCCTCGTCACACTGACCATATTAATTTTATGGGTTGGGTTTTGTCAGAAGTTACTGTCAAATATATGCTATCTACTTAGTCTATGATTTGCTAACTTGTTTTTTCTTTCCTTTTATTCTACCAGTAAGAATTATTTTAGGACAGCATTGCCCCTGTTTGCCAGTACCCTAGGAGGAACATCATCTCCTTGGAAGGCTATAAATGTTTCATTTCCTGCTCGAGCTTAGACTGTGTTCAGACTACACTATGAATAATAAACTGTTGACTTTATATTATTTAAAAGGCCTCATTTTTTTTCCCAGAACGGCAATCTGAATTACCAACACAAAGCAAGGCCAGCTTCCCCAGCATTCTCAGTGATCCAGATCCAGATTCTTCAAATTCTGGTTTTGATAGTTCTGTTGCCTCACAAATCACAGAAGCTTTAGTCAGTGGACCAAAGCCACCTATTGAAAGTATGTATATAAATTAAATTATATTCATTTTCTTGGGTTTTGCAGTACTGTTACATAAATTTCAGTGTTTCTCAAGACATGTTGTTTTAATGGCAGTAATATGAGAATAAAATGACCCTGCTGTTACAGGGATCTTGTGAAAACTAGATATGATCAAATATGAGTGTTTTATAAACCCAAATGTGTAGTTAAAGTAATCACACTTCTGTAAGAGAGCTAGGAAAAATAATGTTAACACATCACAGTCTTCTTTTTGAGTTGGTTTAGCAGGGCTTATTTGCCATGTGGTTACCCATTTTCACCACTAGACAGCAATAGCTGACAAATTCAAGATGATTTCTGGTGTTTTAGGAGGGGTAGAGGACGATTTTGTTATTTTTGTTTTTGTTTTTTTTGTTTTGTTTTTGTTTGTTTTTTGTTTAAGAAAGCTTTCTTCCAAATATTTAGGTAAATACAGTATGTAGTTAAGCCCAAACTGGTGACTAGTGATTGAAATTAAGTAGTAATAAATAGTTTTATGTCACAATGGTATTTTAAGATAACGATACTCACTCATTTATGCATGAAACTTTATATGGATAAGCTTTCAATTCCTTACAAAATTCTAGAACATAGCAGAATTTGTGAAGTTAGCTTTCTAAGAACCAGCATAGATTCTTCAGGAAGAGTTTGTTCCAGACTAACCTCATTTTAATTTTGAGAGGGTTTTTAGACATGCATGATCAATAAATCAAAAATTCATTCTAGCAAAACATATGACAATACTTTGGTTATTCTTGTTGGCTAAACAGCTATGAGTTAGATGATAATAACGTTAAGTGGATTCAGAACTGGCTGAGAGACAGGACCCAAGGAATAATGACTGTTAATAACTACCTGAAGGAAGGAGATATCTAGTGTGTCAACCCAGAGTCACAGAGGTTTTGTGACCACTGTTAACTCTGAAAATATCAGAGAGGTTATCACAACTGCAGTTAACTCTGAAAAATAAAATAAAACCAAAGAGATAACAGTTGTCATTAGCAAAATGCTTATTTTATTCCATTGGAGGACAGAAACTAGACACATGTGCTGGGGTCCCCTCTAGTAGATCTACTTTAGTGTGGGCAGATCTCAATAAATATACTAGTGGCTAACTAGTGAGCTGTAGCCCTGACATTGAGGTATAACAGCAACGGACAGGTTTGATTCATAGCAGGACTTCATGCCATGAACATGGGTACTGCAGGTGCTTGTCCGAGCTCAGACACCACGTGGTGCTGGTGTGAAACAATACTGGGATTTTGCTGTGACTGACTTCATCCAGAGGGTGAGTGCAAAGGATTGTTGTTATGCCAAGCTCAGGGCACAACTTGCTGGCTGGGCCTTATCTCTGGAAAACAGAGTGTCTCCTAATAGTAAAAAGAGGGGTGGTCTTGGCATGGAGATCCTGACAAGTAGAATGCCCCAGGGATCCTTGGCCCTGTGCTATTCAGCATTTTTATCATGGACTTGATTGAAGGCATTGATGGCATATTTACTAGATTTATATTTTATACACTATCATCTTATATCTCTGCTTCCTTTTGTGAAAAAGCTTCTTAAGAGGGTCATCTTTAATTGGTGCCTCTGCTTCCTTTCCTGTCACTCCCTTCTTAACTCTCCTTAGTATGGCTTCCGATCTCCTCCAACTGAAACTGCTCTCTCCAAAGTTGCCAGTGATATCTTTCACCCCCTTTTTAAAAATTTATGTTTTGTTTTTTTACAGTACCTTGGTTCTCTCCCCCATCTCCCCAGTGTCTTCCTCTCCCAGAGTACAATCCCATATAACAAAAGATAAATGATTATCACATCTCTTTGTCCAGCCCTAACCCTCTAGGTCTTTTAACACATCTAAAATAGAATTCATTATCTCTTTCCACAAATCATCTTCCTAACTTCCCTTTTTCTTTTGAGAGCAGTTACCCAGGCTGACAACCTAGGTGTCATTCTTGATTCCTCCATCTCTTTAACCACCAGCTCCATTTCCATTCTGTGCCAAGTCCTGTCAACTTTACTTTAATAACATGTCTCATATATACCGTGTTCTTCTCTCTGATGCAGCTACCATCTTAATTCAGGCACTCATTACTTCACACCTAGTGGTTGGTCTTCCTGCCTCAAGTCATTCCCTATTCCATTCAGTTCTCCATTCAGCTGTCAAAAATTGATCTTCATTAAGCTCAGGTCTTAATATATCATCTCCCTATTCATTATCTATCCCTCAGAAATGACATTCCATCTCCCATATCCAGATATTTTTACTAGCTGTCCTTCATTTCTGGAACTCTCTACCTCCTGGCTATCCTGGCTTTCTTCAGTTCTCAGCTAAAATCTCACCTTTGCAAGAACCCTTTTCTAGTCCTTCTTAACTTAATAGCTTCCCTCCAGTTTATCCTGTATGTCCTATTTATACGTGGTTGTTTGCATGTTGTCTCCTGAATTAGACTGTGAACTTCCTAAGAGCAAGGATTACTTTTTACCTTTATTTGTTTCCCCAGCGCTTAGCATAGTACCTGGAATGTATTTGGTATATAATAAATGCTTATTGCTTTGACTGCCTTTACACAAAGCTAAAAGGAACAGCTAACACATTAGACAGCAGAGTTGGGGTCTAGAAAGACTGACAGTCTCATAACTTGAATATAATAAGATGAAACTTAACGTGAATTAAAATAAATTCTTAGACTTAGACTTCTAAGACTTAAGAAAATTTAACCATACTAGTGTACATGGGTAATAGGAGTTCATGTAAAAAAGCTTTGGGAGTTTTAGTGAACTGCCAGTGTTGACATGGAAGTCAAAAGTAGCTATTGTTCTCTTAGGCTGCAATAATAGAGATGTGTTTATAATGTAAAAAGTGATTATTTCACTCTACGCCACTGTTGTATTCCTTAGTCCAGGGTCCATCCCTCATATTATTCCCCTTAATAAAAGGATTTGTTCTGTAAAGCTTGGACTCAGTCAAAAGGCCACACTTGGGGACCTAGAGGGCCACAAGTGGCCTCAAGGTCACAGTTTCCTCATCCCTGACATAAGCAAAGAATGACCATAATACAAATTATAATATGACAAATACCTGCAATATATCTAGAGAATTATGAGAGGTTAAGGTTGGGACAATAGAGATGGATCTGGGAAAAATTTTAATGGAGGTCATGACACTAGGTTGGACCTTGATCAAAGGCAAAGATTTCAATAGGTTGAGACATGAGAGGCAGCTCATTCTGAGCATGGCATGGAAGTGAGAGAAGTCAGAAAATGATGAATAAGAACGTATGAAGGGGAACAGTATGTTGGAGAGTTTGATTTTGGAGAAGATTATGAAATGTCAAGCTGTAAAGTTTTTATTCCATAGGCGATAGGGGCCTTTGGACAGGGCAGTGACATGATTAAATTCTTATAGTTGAAAGGTTACCCTGGTGGTGATGTAGTTGGAATAAACCTGAAGCATGGATATCACTAAGGAGGCCAGTATGATACTCTAAAAAAGGTAAAGAGAGCCAATCGGTTGTAGTAGGATAGGACAGATGCAAGAAACATTTCATAGGTGGAATTGGCAACTAATGGGGTATGTATTGGAAAGGAGAAGAAATAAAAGATGGCTGAAGCTTTGAGTCTACCTAACTGGGAGAATGTAAATACTATTTTTTTTTAAATTAACATTAAGGGGGAATAGCTTTGGGCAACAGTTTTTAACATGTTGAATTTAAGATGATAGCAAGACATTAAGGTAGAGAGATCTAGTAGGCAGTTAGAAAATATGATCTAAAAAGAAGCCAAGTCTGAAGATTTGGGGAGGCATCTGTGATAATTAAAGGTGATAATTAAAGTATATAAAGAGAGAGCAGAAGGCAAAACCTTGAGGAATGCCTGAATTTAGAAAACATTAGCCAGTGAAAGAACTATCAGAGGTAGGAGAGTGATGTCATGGAATCCAAGAGAAATGACTGTCACGAGAGGGGAAAGTGCTTAACATTGTCAAATAGATAAAAGGAGAATGAGGACTGAAAAAATCCATTGGTGGTCTTAATTTTTTTTTTCCAGTAAAACAAATAAAGCATAAAAATGCAGGTAAAGTGCCATGTTAGTTAATTTGAAAAGATATTAGAATTTTTAGGATGTTCAGATATTGTACTGTCCTAACAAATTGAAAATTACAGATTTGGGAATACTGTTACAGAATTAGCATAGTGCCTTGGAAGATAACTTGCTATGCCACTATTACAGTGTCACAATATTTAACTGTAATATGAGAGTCTTAATATAATTCGATTTATTTTTCCAACATATTTTGTTGTTTTTAGTGACTGAGTATGTTTGTTTTGTGTTTTGTGGTTCTTTTTTAAACATTCTCTTAAAACTTGGAAAGAGCCATTAGTTCATAAATGGTGGCTTTAATAAAACTTTAATAAAAAAAAAAAAAACCTGATGCCATGACTTTCAAGTGAACTGGAGGTAGGGAACTTGCAAGCGAGGGAGAGCTGTGCAAGGTCACCAGCTTCACTTTCTCCTCCAGAGCCTTCTGGGTCCATGGCAAGATATAGATCAGGATGACTGGAGATAGCCCTCATGTAGCTGATCAGTATTCACCTGGAGGAAGACCGCTGATATGCCATACATCTGTCTTCTCAGCCCTGCCCCATTCAGTAATTTTGCTAATTGAATTAAGATACACAAAGCATATTTAATGGAATATATACGAGGAATATATTGACCTGGGATAGATCCCAATATGTTGTATAATTGAATTAGGATTCAAAAAGATCTCTGTGGGGCAGCTAAGTGGCGCAGTGGATGGAGCACCAGGTCTGAAGGCAGGAGAACCTGAGTTCAGATCCGGCCTCAGACCAAACACTTGACACTTACTAGCTGTGTGACTCTGGGCAAGTCACTTAACCCCAATTGCCTAACCAAAATAAATAAATAAATAAGATCTCTGCAGATAACAATGGTTCGCAGACTACTAGAAATTTATTAGAGGAAAATATGAATTCCTGTTTCTACCTCTGATTATAAAGTTTCTGATAAATCTATCAGTGGAATAAGTGTTAAGCAAGTTGCATGTGTAAATGTAATAGTAGAATAAATGTACTTTTTTTAGGAGACCAACTTATACTTTATTCAGAAGTGAAAAAAAAAAGTCTTCATATTACAGGTCACTTTCGACCAGAATTTATCCGCCCACCACCTCCACTCCATATTTGTGAAGATGAACTTGCTTGGTTAAACCCAACAGAGCCTGATCATGCAATTCAGTGGGACAAATCCATGTGTGTTAAAAATAGCACTGGTGTTGAGATCAAACGTATAATGGCTAAAGCTTTTAAAAGTCCCTTGTCTTCTCCACAACAAACACAGGTAGGTTCAGTTGCAAGCATTTGACATCATTTTTGTTTTCTATATTTGCTGATCTGTCTTGGACTTCAGGTTTTAAACGTTTTAGATAGTGTTGGATTATAAACCAAGTAAACTTGTATTAGCACTAACTAAGCAAAGGGTACATGAAAGGCATTTAAATTCATCATAGCTCGAGCCCTTACTGTTAAAGAGAAAGTAGATATGATTACTAGCTATTTTTTCTTCTTAAAATGTTCTTTTCAAACTCATGCCATCCTAGTGTAAGATTTTCACAGGCCAGCCCCCATATTATGAATGGGAGCAATTGTGTGAGCCATCCCTAAATCACTTATTTGACCTGGGAATGATTTTTTTGTTTTAATGTTGACAGCCAAGCATTGCATTCAATTTTTTTTCTTCTCTGGGCTTCCTTCCCCCACTCTGTGAATTCAGTGACTGGCTATTACCACTCAAGCAAAGCACCAACCTAGTATAGCATTCATTTTTATGGTTTATACTTTTCTTGGAGGATGGAATAATTGACTTGTTCACTGTACTTTTGTTTTAGCCCCAAAGTCCAATTTACATTAGTAAAACTCAAGCAAAGTAGGTGATGATATTGTGAATTTTTAAGCATAAATTGCCTCAGGACATGAGATAATTCAGATTTGAGTATATTGAAAATTCAAATACATATTCTAATGCAGGCCTGCCCAACCTGCAGCCAGCAGGATTTTGGGTGGCCCGCTGCCTGCGTGTTGCACACACCTTTTCTAATGGTTTAGCTGAGGCAGGTGGAGGAGTGGCATCAAAGTCAATGAGCTAGCCTCACAACAGGAAGGACTGGGTTCAAGTCTTTTTTCTGACATACTATCCTTATAAACCTTGGCAAGTCACATAACTTCCCAGAGTCCCAAGGCAGTCCTTGAATACTAAAAGTTGAAGAACTTATCTGCATTGTTAGTTTTCTCACTGGGAAGTGTCTACAAAATAATATTACAGGTCTTGGTCAAAAAAAAAAAGATTGATTGTGAATTTTATGGGAAATAGAACAGAAGTGTGGTTTATTGGGAATGTATTTCATAAAGATGTGTTCTAGATTTATGTCTTATGTATATAAAATGATAATTTGAAGGTTATGAGTAAAGTATGACTTACTTTGTTTTCTATTTGGCTGTGTTGTAGCTCCTTGGAGAGTTAGAAAAAGATCCCAAACTCGTTTATCACATTGGCCTCTCTCCCGCAAAACTGCCTGACCTTGTGGAAAATAATCCTCTAGTTGCTATAGAAATGTTATTGAAATTAATGCAGTCAAGCCAGATAACAGAGTATTTTTCAGTCCTGGTCAACATGGATATGTCTTTACATTCAATGGAAGTTGTAAATCGGTAAGTGTTTCTTCTTAGCTAAATTGGGGCATGAATTTTCTCTGTGTATGGGTAACTCATTTTTTTTTTCTGTAGATGTTTTCTTAATGTCTTGAAGGGGAAAATCAGTACAATTATGAAGCGATTAGTTTTATTTCATAGAAGAATTAAAAGTAACTGCCTTTGTACCTTCTTAGATATAGCTCTGATTAGTGATGAAGTACTAGGCTTAGAGCCTGCAAAACTTAGGTTCAAATCCTACTGAGAGTAGCTGTAACTGGGCAGGTCACGTCTTTGTGCTTCATTCAGTCTTCTCTACCTTTTTTTTTTTTTTTTTTAACCAAGGATATGATCTGCATTTCCTGCTCACTACAGCTCCTTCAGGTATATTGATTGTAAATGCTAGCAAGTGAAAGTGTTAACCTAATACTTCAGTATTTATTGGGTTTTTTTTCTGTATTCCTAGAGCACTTAGTAAAATAGTAAAAATATTATGGCAAATAGTAAGACATTTAATAAGTGTTTATTTACCTACCAACTTGTTGAAATTCAAACACATCCTTCATTAGCAAGCCCTAATGACCCAAAAGACTTTATTTCAGACAATTGACACAGCTTCACAGAACAGAAGGAAGGCCAAAAGGAAGCACAGATAAGCTGTACAGTGTTGAAAGTTACATGCTAAAAATAAATAAATAAATAAAGAAGAAAGTTACATGGTGGATTTATTATAGAATTAAAAGGAAAATGCTATATGTAATAGATTCACAGCTTTGTGTGAAATAATCAGTTCTAAAAAGGTTTTATTTATTAATAGTTGACACCAAGTTAAGTAGGATTCTAGCTGAAGAATATGTGAATAGGCTTTCCTTACCTATATACAGTAAGCTCATGTTCAGTATGGTCAAGGAATGAAATATTCTGGTTAATGAAATTCAGAATAGCCTGGGTTCCATATTTCAAAAGCAACTATAGTAAAGACAATACCCTTCATACTGAAACACTTTTGAACATAATTTAATCTTTCTTAGACTGTACAAGAGAAAACTTAACGTGTATTAAGCCTCTTACCCTGAATTCCTTCAATAGAAAGCTCTCAGGGGTACTAATTTTCATATAGTGCCCACTTACCTGTTTACTTGAAAACGCTAACTAGATCAACCAAGAAGGTATGGTGGAATTAAGGGATTTCTCAAAAGAGGTTTGTCGTGTATGCTAATGGTCTTCCTAATTGGAATATTTGCATACCTGGATTCCTCTGGAGGTGGTACAGCAGCAGAAATAAAATGTGTAATACTGATAATCTACATATAATTTCTTTTTGGCTTTGAAATGTATTATGCATTTTAATATAGTACCTCCACTTTCCTAATTCTATTTAAGCTGTTACAAATCTGGACAAGATTCCTCACTTTTACTAGCAGCATCCCTAAAACTCCACCCAAAACATTGGTAGCAATTCAAAGGCTGGCTATATTTTGTAATCCAAACCTTATTGGTGGTTTAAAATCTAGTTTTTTTCTTTTCACACTATGTCTCTATTTAAGCATTGTTTAGAGAATAATTTTCCCTAAAACACTTATTTGCCTTTTTTGTCCCTAAATGCGAGCATGTGCAAAGACACAAATCAAGACAAAAACAAACCAACGAACTCTTAAGAGCCAAATTAAGTCCCACTTCATTCAAGCCTCTTCTAACCTACTAAGCTTTGGAACATCCCTGTCTTTTTGAACTCTTTAAGTGCTTTACTGAATTGTAACTTTTTTAGTCTGGATCTTCTTGTCAACCCATTGGCTTGGACTGGGTGGTATCTAAGGCACCTATAACTATATCCTAGATATTACAGTAAATCAGTCAACCATTTGCTTTTTATTAAATGTTGATAATGATCATAAGCCTTCAGTGGTTTTCAACTGTTTATCGTATAAATTCAGTTCTTTTCATTAAACTTTTCTAAATGCCTGTAAGGTACAAGGCAGTGTGCTAGGTACTGGAGATGCAGAGATAAAATAAATCACAGTTCCTGCCTTTTAGGAACTTATATTCTGCTGGTGGTAATGAGAACATAACATTTACCGAGAAAATACAAGATAATTTTGATAGGGCAAGGGCACAAATAACTAGTGGGTATTAGGGAAGGCTTCCTATAGGAAGTGGTACTTGAGTTGTGCCTCAAAAGAAGCTAAGAATTTTATAAGACATGGAGATAAGGAAATTTGTTCTAGGTATGTGAGATAGCTTGTACAAAGTCACACAAGTAGAAGACAGAACATCAAGTTCAGAGAATGACAAGTAGACCATTTTGGAGCATAATATATGTACTCTTCCCAGTTTAGGTATCAGCACCATATTTGTATCATAAAAAGAATTTGGTAAGACTCCTTCACCTATTTTCCCAAATAGTCTATATGGTATTGGAATAAATTGTTCTTTAAACGTTTGATAGAATTTGCTTGTAAATTCATCTGGCCCTGGAGATTTTTT